GCGCCATTTTCGGAACCACTGTCCTAGGGCTAGGGCTGCGCTCTGAAGCTTCTTCGCGATTAGGGACTTATTTCTACTAGAATAGTAAACAGTCGTGTCGTCGGCGAATAAAGCTAAATGGGTCGGCGGCGACCGGGGAATATCGTTGACGAATAAGCTAAATAGGAGGGGTGAGAGGACAGAGCCTTGCGGGACTCCAGCTGTGAGAGGTCGTGGGGAGGAGCGGGTTCCCTCGACTCGATATCGAAAAGAGCGGTTCGACAAGAAGTCCCGTATGATGAGCACGAGACTATCCGGCACGCCCATGTTGAATAGTTTGAAAATCAAACCATTGTGCCAGACTTTGTCGAACGCTTTTGCGACGTCGAAGAAGAGAGCTCCCGTGTATAACGGTTTTGGTCGATTAAGCCCCACAAGAATGTGCTCCGTGAGGCGGTGCACCTGTTGAACGCCAGTCCATTCTCTAACGGTTCTACTCAAAAACGAAATCTTTCGCAATTCAGGTCATCATAACAGCTTTTCCATCGATACCTTTTTTTCAGAATCGAAGGATTACTGGTGGCCCAAAGGCTCAGCCAGGAGGGGTTGGAGTTGGTAACAGAAGGCGCCTTCGAAGGAGACCTAACAACTCAAGAGCAGCTGATTTGCGAATGAATCTACTACTGGATCGAAATCGCGACCCGCTGAGAAGATCCGGCGAGAAACTCAGCGGGCTGATGCATGGGTTAGGTTGCACGTCGACCTCTTTGTCGAATTCGACGAGTACGGTTACCGGGGTCCCTAAGCCTGCTCCTAGTGTTAGAGCTGAAAGTTTCTAATGCGAAGGTTATTGGATCTGATGGATCCATAAGAACGTGTCTAGGGCATCGACGGTGACTGGCTCCTGCGTGATCAGGATTCGGGGAGTAGTCAGCGGCGGCAACGATTAGGCGATTATCATGAGCCATTGCTATCTGTCGAAGCAGCTGACATATATCGTGTCTAAGCACGTTATCGACTTATTATTTTGAGAAAAATAACAATCTTTGTGTGTACATAGTACCATTTCTATTGTAACATTCGACCTAACTGAACCTAATCTAACCCTTTGTCCACAAATAAGACATTTTGTGTTTGAAATTTACTGAAAAAAGTATCATTAATATTCTTTGAAAATAAACATCTTGAGATAACATATTAAATCGCCTTGCGAAATGTAGTCATACAGATAAAATAATTAGTTATAACGTGTATCTTCTTCAATTTCTAAAACAATAATATTTTTCTGATGACTACGTCTTAATGAATATATTGATATCGATCAAAAATAGCATTTTGCAACTTACTCTGGTCGCATACATAATTTACAACAAAACAAATTGAAGTATAAATTGAATAAGTGAAGCTACTTAAGGAAAAATGAGTAGAGATATCGTTGAAGGGCTGTAAAAAGCCACTTACAATCGCTCGTGCAGCCGACAGCCCAGCGGGCAACCGCCGACGCAACCTTATGGAAATAACTTTGAAAGACAATTGTTATTTTTGTATTATACCCAAGACGACTGTCGCATTCTAAAGGAGTTTCATGCAAATGACAGACCAAGAATAATCAACTTCAGTTTTTTTTTCTTCGGGAACAGTAGATGGAAAATGTTAACTCGGGTTGGAACTATATTTATGTATTATTTCTTATTATTATTTTTTATTGCTTAGATGGGTGGACCAGCTCACAGCCCACCTGGTTTTAAATGGTTACTGGAGCCCATAGACATCCACAACGTATATTCGCCACCCACCTTGAGATATAAGTTCTAAGGCCTCAAGTATAGTTACAACGGCTGCCCCACCCTTCAAACCGAAACGTATTACTGGTTCACGGCAGAAATAGACAGGGCAGTGGTACCTACCCGCGCGGACTCACAAGAGGTCCTACCACCAGTAATTAAATAAAATAGTGAATAATCTGTGGTAATATGTAATGTATATTCACTGGTCGCGGATAGGATTTCGAGGTAGTACAGGCCATTTTAATGTCTATTTCTGACAGAATTAAGCATGATGTCACCAAACGGCCATCTGGTGTAGTGGTAAGTGACATGGTCACTACACAAGGGGGTCGCGGGCTCGAATTCCGCCAAGGGAAGATATTTGTATGATAAATATAAATGTCTTTTCCAGGGTTATGGATGTATATTAAATATGTGTATGTAGGGACACGTAAGCGTTTGCGCATGCAGTTATTGCATTACACTGCACCAGTTGCCCGGCGCCGGTCTTTATGTAAACACATGTACCATCTTACGGAATAAACGGTGTTTTTATTACTGTGTATTAGTTCTTTATTACTGAAGTCACAATTGGTAACAACATCTACAGTAGTGATCCAAAAGTGTATAATAACAATCTTATATTTATTTCCGTTATCTGGTACCTGTAACACAAGTTCTTTACGAACTTATCACGGGACCAGTTAACGTGGCGTTACTGTTAGTAAATATTTATATTTATTTCTGGTAATTTCGTCATTTTCCTTGAGTCGCAGACGGTCATTCGACTGACACAGTCGTCCATGACCACGAAAACTGTAAAGTATTTAAAACTTCGGAAATTTAATGATAAAAAAAAGAAGATTAAACCGTAAAACTACTTTTAATCTTTATATGAAGGGTGCGACATCCATTATTCCATTAAGAAATCAACTTCTTATTACAAGGTGGATCGCGACATTCATATTGTGGTGTCAATGGACTCCAATTGGACTGTAAACTAGTTTTTTTTTTTTTTTTTTTTTTTTTTTTTTTTTTTTTNATGCGGCGCGATTACTACAGGACAAAGAAAAAGCACAACAAAACAGAAATTACGAAAAGAAACAAAACAAATAAATACTTGCAGGAAACCACTTTGTCGGCAGATGTACCACGAACACAGAAACAACAAAAGGAAACAAAACAAATAAAAACTTCCAGAAAGAGCACTTAGTCGGCAGATGCACCACAAACACAGGCCGCGCGAACAATGGCCGGGCTAACAAAAGCCGGGCGAACAAAGACCGGGCGATCGAGTGGACGATGAGCACGTCCGCACGTGACGGGTGCCTCTATCGGAATGCTGTAAACTAGTCTGACCTCTAGTTCAATAATGTTTTAAAATTAAAATCATGCC